AGCTAACCCCCATTCACATTTGGGTCACCTGGGAACAACAGTAGCAGCAGTGATGGGTTGGGGAGGAAGGGAGGGATTGAGAGGGAAAGGAATGTGTTGCTGAGGATGGAGGGGAAAGGGAATATTTCTACCTTTCTAAAAAAGGCCCCCTGCTGCTGCTCCCATAGTGTGCTCTGTCTTCCTCAGTAGAGGGGGTGGGAAACAAATGGAAATAGAGGTGCAGTAGCACTGGATGCTGCTAGCCTATAGTACTGGTTACTGCTCCTGCAACCAGCTTTACAAAATCCTGGATCAGCTTTTTTATCAGCACACTGACATGTGGGAGAAACTGAGTCTCCATGCAAAGCCCATACCAGGGTAAAAGGTGTAGTAGCAGCAGCTTTGCATCCACCCAGGCTCCTTGGTAGGTAAAGACTAGAACATTTGCATTTGTCATCTCCATTGATAGCTGTTAATCATTTCATTCAAATCTTTTAAAATCTGCCTAAATCCCATTTTCTCAGTTTGGATGCCATAACATACTTTCCCCTAAAATACTATCATTACCGTTACCCATTCTCTGAATCGACCACTATCTCCTATTCCAGTGAAAATATTGCTAGAGTTCTGTCACTATAGTTATGTGTTGTTTCCCCCCTTTTGCAATTTTTGGCCTCCCTATACCCACTCTGCTTCTTGCAACTCTTCAAGGTCATGCATTTATTTGTGGTGTTGTATTTGTTTGAAACTCATTTTCCCTACTCCCTGAGCCACTGAATCATTTCTTTAACTCTGACCTTAAAACCTTTCTGTTCTTTTTAACCTGTGATTCACTGTCTCTGGAAAACATTTTGAGATATCCTTTATGAAGAATGCTCTATAAAAATAAAATTTATTAGAGAGTGCTACAGAAGAAAGCAATACTGCAGATACTAATATGGTTGAGGAGGATTAAGGATCCTGCAGGTTCCATTCAAAGGAGCTGATAGTAGGCAAAAACTTGCAGGTACACTAGTTTTCTTCCCTCCACCCTCCAGAATCTACCTGAAGATCCAACCCCTGAAATAATGAAAATAATATTATTGCAGTGTTCTGGGACTGCTGTTTTAGGGCCTTGTTACCCCTTATGCTGTAAGCTACACAAATGTTAATTCACTTCATATTGCTTGGCTTAGTGGAGCAGTCACACCTTAAGGTGAAAAACCATTTCTGCCTGTCATTTGCCTGTACAGCTATGACTTGCCACTAGAGGCTTGGGTGAACAGGGGCAGAACTAGGAGCTAGAGGCAGGAACAGCTCACTGTTTCCAATGGGCAGAGCAAGCACTGCAGTCCCTGAGTGCCTGGTGGTCACAGTGCCTCCTGCTGCTACCTGATCTGCCACTCGCTCTGCCCAGTGGTAACAGTGAGGCAGTCCAGACAATAAGAATTACTACAGCCACCGGGTGATCCAGGGCTGTGATGCTTGCTCTGCTCTGCAGGAGTGGGAGGCACTACGGCAGCAGCAGCAGTGGGAGGCACTACGTGTGCCGGACACTCCAGGGCTGCAGCAAGCAGATATGGCCAGCCCCACTGCGCCCCTGGCATCCCTACTCATCCTGACTCTGGAAGGGCCACTGCATCCTGGGATACTGGAAGACTTCAATTGGGGTGGAACAGCTATGTGGAGTGGCCACATCTTAATGGAATAGAAGCAAGGTTATCCAGCTTAGAGGTAATCCTGCCATGGAGTGCCATACCTTTAAGCCAAATAACGAGTGCTTTAGACAACTTAAAGATGTTAACATGCAGCCAATCCAGGGTAACAGATCCAGAAGCTGCCTAAAATTACCATGCAACAAGGCCCACAGTTTTTCATGCTACCGCTCCCCCCCCCCCATCCTCTTTTCCTGGTTGCTCATTTCCTCGTTTCAAATACTCACTTTCCTCCAAAATCCAGCTTTGATAGTAAAACACATGGTATAAATCCACTATAGCCATGAAAGGCAAGAATCCATTGCCCCCCAGTGTCAGATATACTCCAAAAAGACTGAAACAGCAGAATTGAAACACTCGCTGCACATTAAAGTTGACTGACTAAATGGAGGGCAAGTGAAGCTTCATTTCATGGTCACCTAGCAACTGGGGTAGCTGGGATATCCCTTATAATTAGCTACTGGCTAAAATGCACACGTTTATTACACAGCCTCTGCAGTAACAGAGGAAAGGTTTCTTTCATTAACTGTCCATTGGGATAAAGCTGCTCTCTATCCACCTCCTCTACAAGTGGAGAGGTAGCAGCTTCAGATTCCTTCTGAAAGAGATGAAAAATATCCACAAAACAACTCTATATTAGGAGTCCAATCCAGCTAGAAGATGAACAGAAGATGGATTGCAACACTTCTTTGGACTAACTGGTGAAGGCATATGAAAATATGAAAAGGATGGATTCGTATAAATGGCACAAACTGAGGACTTCAAGCTGTTCATGGGAAATAGACTAAAGACTACTTATAAGTTTAAAATTCTAATTCATTCTGATAGGTTTGTGTAAGTGTGATGTTGTAGCTGTGATGGTCCAGAAATTATGCCGGAGGCAAGAAGTTAAGGTGGTATCTATCAATCTACCATGAGCACGCCCCCCCCCCCCCCCCCCCCCCACCACCCCACACACAACACAACACGCCCCAACAACAACAACAATTCAGAAGCCATGCTTCCTACACATCTTTCCCAAAATGTGATATACCTGATCCAATGCACCAAGTGCCCTGATGGCAACTCTGTGGGTAAAACTAAACAGGACCAGCAACTATGCACCAGGATAAACCCACAGAACAAAACATAAAGGACGGAGATATATACACACCATTAGGAGCATATTTCTCACAGAACAACCCTCCCTGACCTCATACTCCAGGAAAATCTACTTAACACCTTTAAAAGGAAAACTTGGAAACAAAAATCTATAAGATGGCTGGACATTAAGAACCAGGGACTAAACACCAATACCAGGTTTGTGGCAATTATATTTTATGCAATTCCTGAATTCTTTCCACGCAAGGAGGAGAAGAAAAGTGAGAATAACCCTGTTCCTTTTGATAGGTGTAGTTATCATCTTTTTTCTTTTATGAATGGTATGTCTGCTATCCCTGAGAACTTCTTTCAGTCCCTCCCCTCTATTTTTCCACTATGCCGTACCTAGGTTTCCATGATCAGAGCCATGACAAAAATGTCTTGCATTGGAAAATTTGTCTAACTTTATCCCAACTACATAGTCCAATAATAATAATAAAAAAAATCATTCTAAAAAATCCTTGTCTCCTACAGTCCATCATGATGTAAGATGTATTTCTCATTCCTGCAAAACAGTTTGTCTGGTCCTATTGAAGAGGGCTATGTCTTAAAAATAGTTTGTTTCCTGTCTTTTTTCATTAAAATATATTTTATATATATTAAACAAGCAGCCTCTTCCCCAAAGGAATTTATTTAAAAACATTTAAATCTCATTTGACCAGTTCTAATATTGTCAAGCATGCAAAATGTGTATTTATTTTTAAATAGGGTTCATTTCAAAAGTTATTTAGTTTCAAAATAATAAATATTGGATTAATTTTAGTTGCCTGATGTTTCCTTAGCTTGCACTTAGGATGTATTTCTGTCATTTTTGAGGTGTGTCCCGCCTCAAACATAAAAATCAGAAACTGAATTTTTACCAAAAAAAATTAAAAAAAAAAACCAAAAAGAAGCTTCAAGCTGGATATGCGACTTGCAGGAAAATTCCATATATCACAAGAATTTAAATAAAACTGTAAGAGTTGTCAATAATGTATATTCTACATAATGTAATTCTGTGTGAGTATACACACATATTGTATGTCCATCCACTTTTTCTCCATATATGAAAAATACATTTATACATTAACATACATGTATACATTACTTTTATGATCATTTGACAGAACTACAGCTCAGGGGTATGAGATGGCTTCATATGTTTTCAGACAGGTTATCTGTATGACTATTAGAGAGAGAGCAGCGTGGAAGTTGTGGCTGTGAGCCCTGCAGACCTGGATATAGAGAATGTCTTTTGGGGAGCCACAGACTTATTCTGGGGCTTATCAAAGGGCAGCATAACAATACATTAACCCAATGCAAATTTATGACAAAACACCAGAGTCCAACTTGAATCATTACAAACAACATATGTATGATGTCTCCAAATCTCTTGATAATGAAACAGCAATTTAGTTATTTATTATCTTCAGGTCTGTGGAAAATCTCCATTATGATGTTGAGTTAACAATTTCTGAGGATGATTTTGCTTTTTTTTAAAAAAAAAAAAAAGCAGTGTCTGAGTAAAATGTAAGATTTTTCTTTTTTTGTATTGTTAGAGTGCACAGCAGAGCCTAGAATCATAGAAAATTAGGGTTGGAAGGGACCTCAGAAGGCCATTCCCTAGGTATTCAGGCAGGTCAAAGAAAAGACAGATGTGATAAAAAGATGTGATCAAGACTCATTCAACAGAATAACTTCTTGTTCTGTAATGCCCAGGTGTCATCCTATTTTTAATCTCCTTGGAGGAAGAGACAGACTTATTCATAATGGGTAGGCATATTTTTGGTATTGTAAACATCAGTTAACACCACATAATTAACAACTTTAATAATAGATGAATAAGTACAGTCCAGCATGTTTAGGCTGGGTGGAGGTACAATATTTTTAGTTGCTGTATGTCTCTCCTTCAAGGATCCCATGCTTCTTTACAAACTCTTCTAATTAAGCTTCACGCCCTATGAATATTTTCATATTTTGTCATTATATTGATTTTCAGCTGCTGTCACTTTCAGCAGCTTTAATCATGGCAGGTGTCACATAACAGTGTAGCAACAGGTTGTAAAATAAAGACAAATGCAAGTTAAACAAGGGTGAAATGTATATTTAATTCCCAAGAAAAAGGGTAGACTAATTTCCCATTTTTATCATACCATTTGCATTCCCATCTCTATCCTGCTCTGCAAAGAAAATACAAATGATACTCACTCCTGTTATGTAGCGGGGTCTATACTGGATGGTTCCAAATAAGCCAAGTATGACTATAATAATGTGCACAAAATTTGCCAGGATTGGTGCCCACTGATAACCAAGGAAATCAAATATCTGCCTCTCCAGCACAGAAACCTAGGATTAAAAAGTAAGAAAACAAAGATATTAGAACAGTCTGAAGGGAGGGAGGCAGAGGGAGCCCCCCTATAAAATCCCACACAGCTGTGAGGATGTTCCCCTACCTCCACCCCAAAGACAAATAAATTGCCCTGAGTTTAAAAAAAACCCACAAGTTCCATCCGTACTGGAATGAAATATGCTTATAGTGTTTCACCCTTTATTTTAGTAAAAGCAGCATTTCCCATTGACAGCCTACCGAGTTGTACTGTTTGCTGAAATATTCATGTGGCCAATTCTGCCAAGATACTAAACCTATTCACAGGGATGTTGTTTTTTACAGCAGAAGCAGCACAAATCATTTTGTCATATACACTAGCAACTGCTGTACCTCCTGGAGTGGCTTGAACTGAAAGAGCGTGTTTGGGGGGCGAGTTAAAGACATCTCCTCAACCACTTCTTAGCTATCAGCAAGCTTGATTTTCCAGCCTTCTTCCATTTCCCTTCCCCACTAAAGAGCCTCTTCACTTCTTTTTTCCCTAGGCCTGCCTTGTTGACCTGGTTTTGTGCTTCCCTGGTTCACCTGTCACACCCATTTAATTTCTATATATACCAGTCCTTGAAGCCACTCTTAATCCGTTCCTTTTTTATACAACAGCATAATTACAAAATTAAATGCTTTAGTTCTGGCATTCCAGATTACATAGCTTGTGAGTGCCTCATTTGCAACCTCATATGTATTTCTTTAATGTCAATATTAAAAAAAAAATCATCTATAAACAAATCTAGTATAAAACATGTCACTGGTGACAAGTGGCCCTGGAGACTCTGAATTACATCATCACTGCTCTAAAAATCACACAACAAATATAAACATTTGCATGAGCCTTAGGTTAGAAAATTCATTTTTTAGAATATTTAAGTCCTATGAAGCAAATAAGCTAGAGGAGTTGGTGACTGATGCCAAAAAAGCTACAAGATGAGGATAACCCCCCCCCAAAATACTTTTTGTTTATATAGGAATATATTTCTGAATTCAGCAGTATGTGAAAGTGGCACTGTGGTATTAAGGTATTTCAGTAACATATAGCACTGAAAAGAGATATATGTTCAGGATTGCACATCCAAAAAGCTTTGATAAGATGAAAGAGACTCTTGGGGAAAAACAAAACAAAAAACAAAATGAAAGAAACTCCCCTGACGAAACCCACTTTGCCTAGGGATTGATTCCTTTAGTTGGAATTCTGAGAAGACTTAATATGTGGAACCATTATAATGCAATAAGGAAAAAGGAGAGGAAAAGGCAAAAGCATGGTACTCCTATATCGAATTCTACCAAAACCCTGTAGGTGAATATTGGTTCAGGTTCAGTGTTTTGATCAACTCATTAGGCATTTGTCTAGCCACCTGTTCGTTAATGTAAAATTTAGTATCTTCGTGCACCATTTACTGTTCACTAAAAAAACTGTTCTTCAAACTGACAAGCCCTTGCCAAAAAGGAGAAAGATTAGATGGGAATCTATGAAAATAACTTAAAATTAAAAAAACCCCCAGCATTGATTATTGATTTAATAGATTTCATAGACATTAGGGCTGGAAGGGACCTTGGAAGATCATCAAGTCCAGCCCCCTGCCCAAATGGCAGGAAGTCAGCCGGGTTCATAGGATCCCAGCAAGATGAGCATCCAGTTTGCTCTTGAAGGTGTTCAATGTGGGCGCTTGAACCACCTCCGGTAGCAGGCTGTTCCAGACCTTGGGGGCTCGGACAGTAAAGAAATTCTTCCTTATGTCCAGCCTGAAACGGTCTTGTAGTAGTTTATGACCATTCGACCTAGTCGTCATCCCTTGGGGCGCTCTGGTGAACAAACGTTTCCCCAGATACTGTTGGTCACCCCTGATAAACTTATAGGTGGCCATCAGATCACCCCTGAGCCTGCGCTTTTCCAGGCTAAAGAGCCCCAGGGCTCTCAGCCTGTCATCGTAGGGTCTGCTTCCCTGACCTCTGATCATGCACGTGGCTCTTCTCTGGACTCTCTCAAGCTTCTCCACATCCTTTTTGAATTGTGGAGCCCAAAACTGGACGCAGTACTCCAGCTGCAGCCTCACTAAGGCCAAGTACAAGGGGAGAATGACGTCCCGGGATTTGCTTGAGA